TCCATTATTATTACTAGCTTTAATGCATAGTGGTTTGCTGATCTACATATTGCTTAGTATGCTTTGTAAGTCTACATATCTTGCACTCATTTTTCTTTAAAAAACATTTTTACAACAATGGCAATCTGCTTTTTTTGCTTCAAATATGATTCTTGCAATGCAGCTGTAATGTACTAGTATGCTTTCAGAAAATTAGAACCTGTTTTAAATTTCTTAGGCTAAATAGGTTCTTGTTTATAGGGGGTATAAATGACCAATTTTAGGCTAACAGGTTCTTAATTTTTAGGTTCCTAGTTGCGGGTTTCTATAGCCACAGCGTTACACAAGACTCGAAATGCGACTCACCCGTTTTTTGCCTGCTCTCGTCAAATTCTTTCATCAGGGCGGGCAACATAACTCCGAAGCTAACACTTTCCCTGGAACATTGGAATATTATTACATTAGGAAAATATTAAGAGAAACACTACCAGAGCTGCGCCATAGAGTCACACAGATGCTTCATAGCGTTGACTGTGAGCTAAGGTGGTTCCCCCTCCTCTGACCGGACAAGTTTGCTCCAGTCCTTTAGTCCACACAAATGCTGACCACTCTCCCGAATTCGTTTTTCACAAAAACGGGACGTTAATTTTTGCGTCATATATTAAACAACATTGCGTAAAAGTCGTTAACGAGGAAGGAGTGTTTCTGTGTGACATTGGCAGTTATGGATCTGGTGAAGCCCAGTTGAATAGCCCTGCTGGACTGGCCGTTGATGCTTACAACCAGTTGATTGTCTGTGACAGTGGCAATGGAAAGGTTAAAGTGTTCTCGTTGACTGAGAAATTTCTGTACTCGACTATGCAGGGTAGTGTACCTGGAGCAGCAATGTGCTCTTCAAAAGCCCTTTTTTGTTACTGTTTCAAGTGATAACGAAATATTGATTTCTGATGTCTCTGGACCTTACGCTATATTTTCTATTTTCGTTGATCATGCACTGACACTAAATACTCTGAATGAGACAATTAAAGAAGATTAGAGAATAGTTATCACAACTTGAAACGCAGTATTATTTTTTTGGGGGAAAGGAAAATCAGGACAACGCCAAAGGTGGAAAACTAGCACATGCTAACAAAGCTGTAAAACTTGTCGAGTCATTTTAGTCATTAATACCTAACGTTGTGGCCCCAGTTGTTGAAAAGGTGGACAGCGATTTTTACAAGATAAATCACTGTACAGTGGATAAGCACTACGGAAACAAATAGCATTCTCTAGTGGATACTTTAAAAAGTGGATTATTCCTTTTGAACAACTGGGGCGTGGTCTGCAAAGGCAAAGGTTAATTGTTATAACGTACAATCCCGCCGTTGCTTCACCCACAGAATAGCTTTAGGAGCAAATGATATCTAATCCAGCCTTTACAAAGAGAAATATACAAAACGCCAACGCTTATCTCCTAAATATTCTTGTCCGGAACAAAACTCTTTGGTCACGTATCACACTCTACAGAGCCTCTACGTATGTGTTTGGCTCATCAACACTTCAACAACGCTGATTGGTTCTACGATACTCTGCACATGAGCTCCAGCTCATGTTTGCGAACAACGGGAACGAATTTAACCACTCGATTCAGCAGACGTTCGTAAGCCATGAACGGGTCACGAATTCCAAAGAACGTTTGCGTGGGAGGCTATCTAAACAGCTTAGAAACATTAAGGTTTCTCGTTCAGTGCAGGTTCACTGATGTGTATTGCAACTGAATGTCTGTATTCTTCTTTTTTGAGCCACACGAGGACGAAAGGAAGAATCCCTGCACATTGCATCAAAATTCCAGCCACTATGAATGACCACCTATAGCAATTGAACTTGTCGGCTAAGAATCCTGCAAAAAATGATGTGGAAATCGAAACCATTTTACATGAAATTTAGCTAACCAAGACATGTAGTTAACAATAACTTAATAAAGGAATTAGCTGGTAAAGAAAGTGTCGTGCTGCTTAATTTAGTGGGAGGTATAATGGCGGCTTATAAAAATTCGAAACTAGGCCGGCGGAGAGAGCTTTACTGATTTATATGGGATTGTCAGTAGAGTACTTCAACGTTACATTAGCGACCTTTAGATTTGACACTACCTTGATCTGGGTAGTGCTTCTGATTGGTCGTGCTGCGTGGGAAATTTGCCTCGACCAATCGGAAGCGCTACCCAGATCTGGGTAGTGACACGTGATCAGTATGGAATTTCTACGGTCGTCTCTCAGACGTCCGTTCTGGGGGATATCAGTGGTGGCACCGCGAAATGTTGGCTGTTTTTTTTTTCCAGGCTACTCAAAAGTTCAGGTAACTTTTCGGGCAAGAAAAATTGTTTTATGCGTGCCTTGTTTGAATTCAAAACAAAAGTTTCAACAATATTAACTACGATACAATGAAACTTAACTATCAGTTAAGTAGCAGAATTGACTGGTTTGCAAGCTAGTTATTGTGCTACTATTCGCGTACGGGTTTTGACTTTCCAATTTTCCTTCAGGCCCGAAAGGTTCCCGGGTCTTTGGAGAAACGGGCCCCGGACTCGAGAGAGCGGCGGAATTCGACCCGACCTAAAACACAGATTTAAATGAAAGAATGTCTCGGATTAAAAAAATATTCTCACCGGCCAAAGGAGGCCCTCCGGCAATGCCCAAAGACAATAAAAAATTTCCAAGTCCTAAGGCGGATGCTCTGCGCTTCTCGTCAACCGTGAACATGAGAAGGGAGTTCATTGTTGTGATAAAAATGCCGTCACCGACTCCATATACTATTGCAAATATAACCATTCCTGTGTAGTCTCTAATCAGTAGGAGACAAATGGTAATTAGGCCTACAAGCAGATTACCAAACTGGTAAACAAAAATAGTGTTTATCCAAGAAATGTCACACATTCTTCCCGTGACTACACGAGAAAATGATGACGCTAAACCGATAAAGATAAAAAGCGTGGATGCCGAGTCAGCGGAAATGCCCAACTCGAGGCAGTATTTAACCTGTGAACGAAAAGAAAAACGTTTTGACTCATACATGTTGTTTATGTCACCGTAAGATAAAACTTGTCAACTGTTGTTAATAGAGTACCGAAGTGTGACGTCACAGAAAATGAAATTTGTGAAATTATGGGATTTGTTAAGATATTCTGAAAGAACAACGTCCAAGACGCCTACTCGCCAAAAATTAGTAATTTGCGGCAAATTGTCTCTGAGATATTAGCCCAGTTATGCTCCGATGACTCCATACAAATCCTTCTAAATCTTACCTGGTTCCTAATCTTATGAACCAAGCCAAATTTAGAAGGATTTGTATGGAGTCGTCACAGCATAACTGGGCTAATATCTCAGAGACAATTTGCCCCGAATTGCTAATTTTTGGCGAGTAGGCGTCTTGGACGTTGTTCTTTCAGAATATCATAACAAATCCCATAATTTCGCAAATTTCATTTTTATGACGTCATCACTTCGGTACTCTATACTATTTGAATAACGATTTTCCGCAGCGACGACGACGGCTACAAGAACGGGAAAAAAGCAACAGGGTCATAAGATTATCAAAACAAAACTTTGCAGGTGCATCACGTTTTTATTACATTTCTTTACCGTCGTTGCATTTGACAAATAGGCCATTTTACAGTTATGGATAGAAGCGAGGCTGGAGTTAACCTTGTTTTGATTTGTTTTAATACAAACCTTCCATGTAAATCAAGTTATTCTTATGCTCACTAGTCAGTTTTTCGAGGACAATTTCCATAACAAAGCAAAGAATGTTTGTCAAAACAAGGTAAACCTCAGCCCCATATTCACTCTAAGGTTAGAGTACTAAGTTCACAACTGTAAAATGGTCTGTTGAACGGCATGGAATAAGAGCGATGGAATTTGAAACAGCGTGAATTCACTTTTAAAGATACAATTTCGCCACTGTCGTCGTCGTCGCCGCTTAAGCTCCCCAGTAACTTTTTCGCCACGCCTGTTGCGTCAACGGGGAATATTCCCCCGTTTTGTTTTACTACTGTACACTGATAATATTAATACGGACCAATTTTTTCTCGCTTCTGCGTTAAATAACTGTGTTTAGTGTATTCGTAGCGTGCACGTGGAATACGAAAAACAAACTCACCAAAAGCAACTGTGGCGTGTAATGTCCCAGGCACATTAATGTGAGACTTGTTACTACGACAGTAAAACGAGGTACTTTGAAGACTGACAGGTCAATAAGTTTGCTTCTTTCCTTTCTATTTTGCACTTGATTCAAATATATGCTTTCTGCGCGTTTAACGTCTTTTGTGGTAATCAGATCTTCAGGAATGGTCAACTTATCAGATTCATCTGTACAATTCTCATTTGTCGTCGCATTTGCGTCTTCATAATGCGATCGTGGTTCACTAAACGAGACTGGACAGATGCACACAAGGACGAACAAGGCACTTGTTACTCTGTAAGTGCCTCTCCAGCCAAATCTATCTATCAGGAACTGTTGGAGAGGGCCAAAAATGAGCACACCAACACTACCACCAAGAGAAACGATTCCTACAGCGAGATACTGTAATCTGCGAAAGTTCTTTGCCGTGATAAGGAGGGAGGCCGTAAATATCATGGATGCACCTAAACCATAAAGAAAGCTAAAGGTGAAAAACATTAGCCCAAAGCTTCGTGAATATGACGTCAGAATCAAGCCTACTGCGCATATCAGTCCTCCAGCAATAGCGGTGAAACGACATGTAATAGCTTTGCAAAGAACTGATGCCAATGGCCCAAGAAGAAAGGTTAATGCAATCGCTAGAGATCCGATCCAGACTGGAAGACAGAAAAAAAAACAAGAAAAGAGATTTGATATAGCTATGATTGTACCGTTTTGAAGATCTAAAAAGGGCTCCAACTCTCCACGTTAAAATTTTGAATATTTATGATTTTTGGTTAAAGCAAACAAACAGACGAACAAAAAACATTTTTACCTAAATCTATTGTTAGTTCGGATATGGTCTTGTTTTTGGATTGTAAGTGTTCTGTTTCGAAGACGTCTCGACTTGTGATGATTTTATTAATTTCGATATTATTGGTCGATTGAATCGCCCGAGCTTAAAAATGGGCTTCGTTTTTTGTTGTGGCACAAATCGCCCTCTGGCGCATACAGCGCGTGCGCAAGATAAAATAGTACGCGTAAAATTTATGCGTAAAATAGGCCAGCGGATTAAACCAGAGCACATAGCCACTTCCTGGTGTGGTGAGCAAAGCCATCTGTATTTGGGTTACTACTTGATGTCGGTGCATTCTGTGTATAAAACTCAGTTATCGCGAGAATGAACACCAAGTGGTTACCCCGAATACAGATGGCTTTACTCACCTCAGCAGGAAGTGGGCTTCCTTGTCATTTTCTTATACGCGAAATCTCTGAAATCTTTCTACCAAATGCACACGCTGTTTATCTCTAGACCTATAGTAAAAGATGGCGAGCGAAGGGTTAAGTTCAAACAGTGTCTTTATGTCTTACAGATCACTAACAAACTCTTCCGTGTGAACCTTATCAGGAAGTCCTTTCGGAGTAGAGAGCTATAAAGGGAAATAATGCCTCCGGTGATACAGCGCAACTTTAGGCGATTTCGGAGAAGAATTTCAAAGATCATAGGCTGTAAAGGGGGACCCACTTCAAGACAGTGATCAAAGACGGTACTTGAGAATTGGCCTTAGCACAGCAATCATACACTATCCTCATCTTTTGTTCGAGACTCTGCCTGGTCTCTCATTAATAATTGATGGAGATTGTAATGTATGGCTTCTCCATTGGCTATTTCTGGCACCACTTCTAGGATCCCTTTCTCTAACTGCTGCTCCACAACTGTCTTCAAATCTTTGCATCGGCTTTCTAGCTTTCGTGTCATACTTTTTAACCTCCCTAGTGTCAGTTCCTTGTTTGGAGGTAAACATGCATGATCAGGCTTCCAAGGTAATAACCTTGTACAATAGCCACCTTCCTCTAATCGCTGTAGTTGATCTATGAAATATTCGTGAAAGCAATCATGTACCTTCTCCACATCTATCAGACCAAGAACACACCTGCGCGAATTCGTTTTCACTAGAAGTCACGAATAACATCTTTTTTGCTTAAGCACAAGGAAGGCTAGACTATCCAGCAATAACCGATCCCAACATAGTGAACTCTTCTCCGGGATCAGTGTTCGGGTTAGCCTGCGGTGCAGCCGGCCCACGTATCGCATATAGTGTGGATATAGTCCTATAAGGTTTAAAGTGTCTGCGCGCAGGCTATATTCGGGTTTAGACCCAGGATTGGAGGTTCAATTGACTGAACTTGTTGAATATCAGCCGCTCCAAGGATTATGTGCACCGGTAACTTCTATGCAGTTGCTTGCTCCTCACTAAACAGTGGCGGATCCAGGGGAGGTCCCCCGGGCCCCCCTTATTTTTAGACCAAACTTTTTTTTGGAGACCGCCCCCCCTCCTTAGCTAAGGGTGTTGATGACCGCCCCCCCCATTTATCTCAAGATCTGGATCCGTTACGAGATTCTATTGTTAGGCAGGTAGGTTAACACAAGCTTCTCGGCATTGACACATTGCGGCTTCATTCCCAAACTATCTATTCATTTGATTTAACATGGACCTTGTAGTTGTCAACTGTTTGTCTGCCGTTCCATACATTTGCTCAATTACTCTGCTCTCAGTTCTGTATGGGTGTCTCTAAAACCAGGAACAGACCCGGAACACCCCGGAACACCACCGGAACACAGTCGGGACACCCTGGAATACCCAGGGACACCCTAGAACGCCCTCAATTACAAAAATTAGGCAAAAAATTACAACCCCCCCCCGAAAAAAACCCCTAAAACATCATCATTGAATCAATAAATATTTCTCATGTAACTGGAAAAACGGAGATTGGGTAAGATTGACGAATTCACGCAACTTACATGTAACAACTTCCGAAGATTTTAAGATACTAGGCCGTTGTTTGTGGGGCATTGGGCAGGAGCATGGGAGGCTAAGGGACCGGTCATTATCTATCACCTGGGGGGGGTCGGAGGATTTTGGGGGGGATCACCTGATTTTTAGGAGAACAGAGGGGGGGATCAGTCGTAACTGAGAGCCCAAAAGGGGGGGATCACTGAAAATTTTGGAAGGATTCAGAGGGGGGACCACTCAAATCTGCTTGAACAATGCCAGTTTGAAAGCATACAACATAAATGTGCCCATTCTGCTGGGAGATGATAGCATTTGCAATCTCAATTTGTTCTAACACAACTTTATTTAAAAAACGGAAGTCTGTCACACTGGCGAATGTGTGCATTTCAATTTATATCGAGAAAGCTTTGTTTTAACGCTTTTATATTTTTCCTTTTATAACGTGCTCATGACTTAGCTAATATTCATCTTTAAACATGACAGGTGAATTCTAAATTGTGAACTATATAAACTTCTGATAACTGAAACATTGTAAAAAGCGTGTTTGTTTAAACATAAACCATTTATCGCCTCTCCAGGAATGGGCGTCCTGTGTCAGCTCTATACTAAATTCGATTCAACTGCTTCATCTGCCTCATCTTGAGCCTCATCATCCCATTCAACAACTTCATTTGCCTCTTGAGCCTCGTCATCCGATTCAACAGCAACATTTAGTCCCCTTCGGCAGGTTGACCCTGGACTTTGTGCCCTTAAAATGGCCGCTACTTGCTCTAGATTTTTTGCTAGGGTCGTGCTAAAAATACCCTTTTCTAGTAGCCATAGCAAAGGGTCTAGATGCAAACGCCTTGTTAGTTTCTTAGCAAAGTCAGCATTGATGCTATCTACAGGAGTAACTCTATCATTCTCTTCGATTGAACCGAAAATTTGCCCCGCGACCTCGATTGAGGTCAAGTTTCCTAAGAGATGACGTGCCCTCTGCTTGAGTCGCTTGTCCTTGGTTTTTCGGACCTTCCTCTTATTTTCCTTCTTTCTTCTTGACATTGTTGATTTTCTCGCGCACAAAGGAAACTTCTTTGACAGGTTAATATGCGCTGTTGTCAACTTGTTGGATGCGGACTGAAGTTCCTCGTGCAGTGTAGTGATTCGCCTATGTGCTTCTTCTAAATAGGCCAACTCATCGCCTGCAAATGACTTTAGAGTGTGGTCCTCTGAAAATTGTCGCTAAATATGACCTGCTGATAGGGACTTGGCGGACTGCTATTTGGCACTCTAAAACAAGTAACTTTGCAGTTTCAAGCACTGATTGAAGTTTCAAGCACTTTGCAGTTTTAAGCAAGATTGCTTGTATGTCAACTGAATTCAGATGTCTGGATCCAGACTAGAAAAAGACACGGATCAAGAGACACTTTTAAAAAAAGACTGCGCGATAACGGCTTTATTATGCTGTAAGTACATCATAGTTAGAAATACTACCTGTATATGAACGTTTAAAACAATAAATATACACGTCGAAAGGTGAATATGGGTACAAAGACATGGGGTGGGGGGGGGGGGGATCACGAAAGTTATATATAGTTATGAGGGGGGATCACTTCAATAAAATAACATTTAAAGGGGGGATCGGCTAAATTTCATCGTGTTTAGCCCAAAATCCTCCGACCCCCCTCAGGCGATAAATAATGACCGGTCCCTAATGGCGTGGGGGCAAGACAGCCCCCAAGCCACACATAACCTTGTAAAAATTCGCTTGTTCGGAAGCTAATCTTTCCATTTGTTTGCAACGAATCCTTATAAAAAAAAAAATTGGTATGAAAAATCGATCTATGGTGGTTGTGTTTGAAAATGAAAAATACGGAAATTGCAAGTTTGCGTGACTGCGAAACGGTATTAGGCATAATTTTTTCAATCGCTGTGGCTACATGCCTAGCAGCTGGGACAAATGCCCGGCAGGCCAAAAATTTTTTTTAGAATTTCTACAAAATCCCTTTTTCTACTAGTTTGAAAGTATTCCTTCATTTAGAATTATCAAGCGATCAGGAAAACAAGAATGACTTCGTAGATGAGCATGAGCGGTTATGGTTTCTGGGGCATAAAGTAGAGTCGACGATGGAATATTTTGAGGAGAATTTGCTTGAATTTTGCAAATTAGCTTCAGCAGCACCACCAGAATATCAAGAACTGTCGAGAGTCTAGCTCAAGTCGGCTCGAGGTTGCGAAATAAAGTTTCAAAACCAAAGCACTCTCTCTCCGATTGTTTAGGGAAACTAATAAAAAAAATTACGAAAATTTTCTGACTGCCTGGCACTCAGTTTTTTTAAGACCCTTCCCGGCTGCCGGACATATAGCCACAGCGTTACACCAGACTCGAAATGCGACTCACCCGTTTTCTGCCTACTCTCGTCAAATTCTTCCATTAGGGCGGGCAACATAACTCCGAAGCTAACACTGAAACCAAGATTTGCGGCGTTAAAGATTGAAGCGCAGATACAAACCAACCATGACGTTAAGCTGTCTCGGTGATGATTCGATCCGCAATATGGCATTTCTGTTCGAAAAGTAGTACTCGTCAGCTTGTTCTGTATGTTTGCAACTTTTTGTTTTCCCGGTGAAGGTTTCGGGAGAACTAGCCGTTTTTCTTTTCGCAAAATTGGTCATGCACATCTACGAATTAATATACATGCAGTAACTAATAGGTAAGATGTGCATGACCTGCTTGAGCAAAACAAAACATACCGTCAAACCCCTATTAAGCGGTCACCCTCGGTTCTAAAATTAAACTCCGATGATAATGCGACAGAAGTTGATGCAGAGGGCAAACTTTATCCTTCTCTTTACAATTTGCTGTGCACAACAACGGTAACACGAAATATAATAAAATTGTTTGGATGTTCTGAGGTCTTCTGAGAAGTTCAA